AAATGGAGACCAAGCCCACGCAGCTAAGGCGGCCACAGGAAAACGCTGCGCAGCAGGGTACGGAAGCACTTTTTCAGGTGTAAGGTCCCTGACAACAGACCGTAGTTATCGATGTTTGGGGTTGTTGTTATTATGTATTGTTTGGCTGCTCGCCCGGGCCTCCCTCGGATTATGGAGCGCTCAGCTCCCGCTTCCTTGGCGGGTCTGCGCGCGGCCTTCACTCTCAGCCAGGGCTTGTGCAGTAGCCACGCGCAGCTAGCGTGCGTAACTCCCAGCCGCTACCCGCCCGCAGCGCTTTTCAATTTACGAAGCGCTTTCAAGCATTTGCTGTGTCCCGCGGTCCTCACGCAGCTCGGTGTGATTCCCAATTAAGATTGCTAGCACGGTGAGGTTGGTGGCCCGCAAGACTGGAGCCCTGCAGCGCCTGGGCAGGGCGCCTCCCACCCCCCTTCCCCCTTGCGCCTCGCAAAGTCCGCCTCGATCCCTCCTCGTGCTTTGCGGACCAGGAGCTCCTCCGCCAGTGTTCGGGTTGAGGGGAGATGTCTAATTTTCTCCGCTGCTCAGGCTCGGCCGGCGGCAGCTTCGCCGGAGGCAGAGGCCGGAGACTACCTTTTCCTGGCAAACACCGACGAAACGTGAGTGGAGGGTCGGCCTGGCCAGGATGGAGCTCCGGCGGCCGCAGAGTCGCAGGATCCCCGCGCGGTGGGACCTCTGCAGGCCTCGGAGGAGGTCTGGCCTCTGTGCGATGCTCGGTGCGGCGCTCCCACGCTTGCCACTTTCTGGGTCAGCAAAAGCTCCCCACTCCGGGCTGCCCTCAGACGCCGCCCCTCTAGGGGCGCAGCCCCTCGGGGTCCGGGGATCCAGACTGGGCTCTCAGAGGAAAAGGGAGATCTTGTGGGAGCCTTTCTCAGACCTTCTCGAACGAAGTCAACCTGTCCCTTTCCTAGCGCGGAGGACTGGCGAGTGGGCGCGGATTCTCTGCGGCCCGGAAGCCACTTATTTTCTGAAATGGAACTCATACCTAAACTCCCCGGTTTGGCCCAGCTCTACCGAGATACGCCTTCGCGTCAGTGAGCCCCTCAAACCTAGTTGCTTGGAATTAGAGGAAGGTTGGGAGAGCCAAGGCCAACAGGCCAGGGGTTGGAGTTAAACACACACACACACACACACACACACACACACACACACACACACACACGAGACATTTGGCAGCCTGTCATCCCAAATTTACTGCGCAGAGCCCAAGAATCATCGTGGGCTGAGCCTGAATCCTTGGGGCCGATTTCAGTGCAGGTACAGCTGTTCGC